AAAAAAAAAGCAAAAAAAAAACACACCAAAAAACCCCAACCAGAACACCCAACCAGACAGAAGCATTTCCACACCCTGGCAAGGTCAGGGTGGAGGGGAAGGAATAGAAGGCAATGGTTATAAAATGGGACCCCGAGGGCAAGGAAGAGGCTGTGCTGTGCTCTGCCCCTGTTATGCAAGGCTGTGAGGGAGGAGGGAAGGGATTTAGGAGATGGGATTTAAGACACTGTTGGCACAACACTGCAGATGATCAGCAACACGGGCTACTCGAGGAGGGAGAGAAAGCTGTCTGGGCTTGCCTGCAGACAGGAACAGGCAGAGCAGCTCCACTGCAGCAGAGCACAGGAGCCGCTCAGCTGCTCCCGAGCCCACAGCAGCCACGCTCGCCCCTTGGCACAGGGAAGGCAGGTAAGCAGCTGCTGCTCCAGTGGAATGCGGTGGGGCTGAGGCAGACGCCAAGGCAGGTCTGGATGCTGAAATGGATGCACCCAGCTGGCAGAGATGAGCTGAGAAGGGGGGACAGGGTGGGAGGCCAGGACAGAGAGGCAGCAGCAGCTGGAATACCTGGAGCCTGCAGGATGTTGCTCCCAGCTGTCCCACGTCGGGGGATCACTGGTCCGTGGCCTGCGCAACCACCTCCAGGCAGGCTTCCTAATGCCCAACTCTGACAAGCCAGCCAGCAGCCCTGCTGGGCAAGAGCTGAGCTAGGTGGGAGGCCAGCACAGACCAGCTCCAGGCTGCTGGGTAGCTGCAGGAGCATGCTATTTACAGCACAAGAACCACAGTCCTGCAGTCTTCTCCTCCCCCAGAGCCCTGTGAAGCAAGCCGATGACTCGTGGATTCATCATAAGCAATCCCCTCCTCTCGGGGCAAGCGCTGCGGTGGCCCAGCTCCAGCCACAGCCTCTGTGCCAAAGGAGAGGAAGAGAGAAGCTCGCTGCGCCAGCTAGGTGCAGAGCCAGGAGCAAGGATGTGCTGGCAGGGAAGAAAGCTGTCCCCGGGCTACCTGCAGCCGAGTAGCAGCCTCAAGAGGGGATAAAACAACCAGATCGGCTTTTATTCAGCTCACTCATCTAAACAGACTTGTAAACGAGAAGGGACAAGGAACTGGAAGGACGTGGCACACAGACCCCGTGTCACACTCCACTCGGGGAGGCTGAGCTAGCTGGAGGAGCGGACACCCACAGTACCCTCTGGCTGGCAGTGGGGGAGAGATGCCGGCCGGGCCTCCTGGAGACATGGGGATCTTTACAGATTGATTTCACTGAATTTTTTTTTTTTATGCTGTAATATCAGCATGTGCTGGTGTTGCGATCCCTGGAGGCATGCTGCATTGCTACAGAGCGGCCTCTTGGCTGGGTGGGATGGTCCGACAGGCCAGCAGCCAGCTGACATGCCCAGTTTGTTGCAGAAGAGGTCACCTGTTCCTGGTTCTTTGTAAACCTGAGCTGTTTCTTCCCTGGTCCCCCGCCTCCCCCAGCAGTCATTGCGGAGGAAGAGGGATGCCCCGTGGGTCAGTGACTTGACCCTCTTGCAGGTTCTTGACGAGCTGAGCCAGCCAGCGCTTCGTGGTGGTGTCATCCTTCAGGACCTGGGCAAAGGTGGTGTCCTTCAGCTGGTCAGGAAGGCATTGCCTGAGAGCTTCACGTGCCCTACATCAAGAGACAAGAAACAGGGCCCAACAAATAAAGTCACAGGGGCAGGAGGGGAGCAAAGCCCACTGGGGACACAATGCTTCTTTGCCTAAGAATGCCCAGGTGTCTCCCTGGCAGGGCCAGCCAAAGAAAGCACCAAGCGGCAGCACGCAGTGCTCAGCCAGCCAGCACTGCTCCCATCCCTCAGCTACACCCCACTGAGCCAACCCCTTTGCCTTGTCACCTGTCAGTCAAGAGCAACATGATGCCAGGAGAGGCCGAAACGACAAAATACACACCCAACAGCTTAGGGCAGAGCTGCTCATCAGCACAAAATTGGGCTGTATTCCTTCAACTGCCTTTCATCAATTGGCTTCTACTGCTAACAGCCCACAGGATGCCAACGAGGGAGAGCACAGCACACCTTCCACCTCAGGCCCCCCCCTGCCCTGGTACATAGTTCAAGCTACATTTGAGCTCAGTCATCCCCTGCACAAGCCCCAAACAGTCACTCACTCTCCCACATGCCACAAAAGCTCTTGAGACTAGAAATAAAACAACAACAAAAAAAAAAACCCAACAAAACAACCCAAACCACCCAAAAAAACCCACTCATTTCCCACACTGTGCAAAGGCTGATGTAACAACAGACAAGGAACCCTGACTCTCCCGAAGCCGGCACTGGGGAGAACCGCACTTCCAAGGGAATGGGAGAAGCTCCTCCCCAAACTCCTAAAATGTTTACCTGGGGTTATCAGAAAGGCGAAGGTAGCAGCGGACGACGTGTTTCAGTAGCCGTGCCGATGGCTCCTTGGAGAGCTGCAGGACCATTTTACCCTGTTTGACAGAGGCCAGTGCCACCAGTTAAGTCTTTGTAAGAACAGCTGCACAATCAGCAGAGGCTGGGAAAGACCATTAAATCACTCACTCTGTCTTCCCACACATCACAGCCCTTTACCTTTCACCTGGACACCCCTGCACAGAGCCCTGCACTCTGCTTGCCAAGATGCCTTTGAGAAGAGCAGCTAGCCGTGACTTGGAAAGGACTCTTCTAGCAGCTTGGGCAAAGCATGTCTATCTCTGTTTGCTTTTTATTTCCCAGGACTGCTTGGTGGTCCAACCCTCTGCTAGATTAAAGAGAACCTGGGGTTTCTCCCTTGTGGAGGAAAGTGAACATAGCCTGAATGCTCTGATAAGCTCAGACTGAGTCACTCCATGAGGTGTGTTCCTGAGGTCTGCAACACTCCCTGGTCTCAACTGTGCTGCTTCCATTTCATTGCCCTTCTAAAACACTAACAATAGCCTGGGAAGCCATTCCGCAGGCCACATCTGGTCTTACCATGCACCCAAGAGTTGTAAATCCTCCTTCTGCTACATCCCTCATCAAGGCATTGCTGGGAAGCAAGACCAGGGCAGATCTCCCTGGCCCAGCCTCTACTTCTCACACTGCGTAGGACTTTGCACATGGCTGCACATTTGAATGCACCCAGCCTAGTGAACAACATGGATGCCTTCACATACCTTCTCTGAAGGAGTTTAACCATCTGCTCACCTCCTATTTAGGAGTCAATCAGATCTGCCCAACAAGTTTTTTTTTTTCCACTTGCAGACTATTTTCCTCATTAACCAAATTCACCTGTATTTGGATAGTCAGGCAGTTAGCAATTTGCAGGTCCCCCTCATCCATCCTTTACAAGTTTCCTGTTATCAGCAATTCCCCAGGACAACAGTATGTCTTCCAAATAGAGAACAAGTTAGAGAGCATCCGAAATTGCTCCTGGACAGGAAATACTAACTTGCTCTTTTAAAAGCATCCAATACTTGCATTGACATCTTAGTTATCAGCAGACGAGGAAGTAGATCGGCACTGGACAGATAGACAGGAATACACTATCCCAGTTTTTGTACTAAAGACCAGAAATGTCTATAAACATTCGTATCTTTCTCCAAAATGCTACAGAATGTTCACCAGGTCAGTGGTTCATTATACCACAGCTAGGATTTCTTCCACACTATCACAGCTTCACACGAACGCGTCCTTCCGTGGTTGTACCCTTCCCAGCTTCCAATTCATCCGTGGACTCCCTCCCCTACCCCAGGGTTTCTAGTCGTGTCCTTCACTGCATCCTGGAACCAGATGTAGTTTCACCAAAGCCAGTGCTTTTCTTGAATGCAAAACTTGCACCATGTTAGAGGTTATGGACACCAGCTCACAATCGCTCCTATTTTGGTTGTGGGTGAATTAGGAGGTAACATTTTCTTTACATTTGGGAAAACAGACAAATAAATATTCCCAAAGAAAGCATCAACATTTCGGCACAGAACCAGCACTGCAAAGCACTTAACTTAATGCTGCATTTTTGTCTCCTGACACTGCTTTTTAAAAAGCAAGCAAGCAACCAAACACAAAAGCAGGACAGCAGCTACTCCAGGGCAAACATGGATTCCTATCAATGAGCTCAAAGATAATAAAGCTCAAGCCTGGGTTGTTACTCCTGGGACGAACAACTTATGAGTGCCCAAATTTCTCCTTCACAGGGGACAGGGAATCAACGAAAACAAAAATTATCTGCTCTCTGTGTTCCAACACAAGAATTGAGAGTTGTAAGCAGTAGCTAGCAGGAGCCAGGTTCGAAGATGAAAAAAAGGAAGTTGGCCTTCCAGTCAGCAAATAGGAAACCTGTGAAACTCGTTGGTAAAGGACACTGTGGACACAAATTTTTCCAGGGGTTTAAGGGGAGGATAAAACAAACACTGGGGGTTACTGCATAGAAAACCCACAACTGGCCTCAGAAATCCAAGGCTGAAAATAGCTGGCAGCTGCAAGACCGTTACGAGGTCAAGTATTCCATTTGCTTGCCCTGCTCTTACTCCTTCACTCAGCCTGCTGCTCTTCCAACGTGTTGTGGGAGACAGTGATGGGAACGAATGGATCCACATCCAGGCTGTGTGATCATTCTTTACATAAAAAACAATCAATTCACATCCAACAAAACTGAATCTTCTCTGATGTTTACCTGGTTTATCTTGGAGACATTACAACTACTACCCGTTCTCTTGACACAAACCAGAATTATACAAAGGAAACATGGGGAAGCAGAGAGCTACAGTGTCACAAGCAACAAGCCCAAGAACCATTTCCCTCCTGAGACCTGTGCTTCAGCCAGACAGCAGTGAAGTAGCTGCTGAAGAAACTGGCTGCTAAAGCAAATTTTAATCTCTTTTTTTAAAGAGAGGAAACAAATAATCTTACCAGTATCATGGCAACATGGGAAAACCGCTCGTAAGTCTGACAGATATATGCCAGCCCTGTGTCATCCAGAAGGATTTTCTGAAGAATAAATGTAGCAACCTAGAATGGAGAGAAAGCAGAAAAGAAAGTATATAAGCAACTTGTCCATCCTGAACAGGGACAGCTTTTATGCTGAGCAAGAGGCAGAAGGATCTCTGCCATCTGGACAGCAAACTGATTTCAGTTCTCATCTTGAGCATTACTGACACACGAGACACGTGACTTTCTGGAAGAACCTAGGCCAGCTATGTCAGCAAGCTTCACCAGAGAAGTACACAGACTGAAACCTGTGGCAGGCCTACCTGGGTCATCAGACCAGTCTGACCACGGATCTGAGCTCAGAGGAAAAGGGGCCCCTGGTCAGATGGGACAACAAACTGGTTCAGCACAGTGAACACTCCCATAACCACTACTAACAGCTGCCACCCAGCCTCTGCCCTACACAGCTACAGTATTTGTTCTCTTGGGTCAAGGAAAGTTGAACTAGCTCAGCCCTGAAAGTTACTCTGCAGGGCAGCAAAGGAGGGAACAGGTGTTGAAAGCAGCAAGATCTTTTCCAGCAAAACTACCAAGCTCAGGAACTCCAGCATAGTTTGGTGGTCTTGGTTTGTTTTTTTGAGGAGGTAAAAGCTACACCCAGAATTACCCCAGCAGGTGCAGCAGGACACAAGCCAACTCCACAGGTTACTGGCTGCCTGGTCAGTAAGAGAAACAACAGGTCCTAATTAAGACAAAGAGTAGGTACCGTTTTGGAGAGTTCACTGCCAGATTCCATAATCCGTAAGCACAGGGGGATAATTTCTGTGGTCAATAAGAAATTTATCACTTCTTGCTCATCAGTTTTCACCAAGGCCCCTTGAAAGAAAAACAAAACCCAAAATCAATAAATGATAAATCATTTCCAAAAGTCTCACCTTTCAAAGAGGGCCTGTGCTACATCCTCCCCAGGAATTGCTGTCTGAATGGCAGGCAAAGCAACTGTCATCTTAAATACGCTGCAGCACATGGCTGCAGAAATTGTTTTGGCAGCATAAAAATAATCTCACTGGGATTGGGGGTTGTTTGTTTTTCAAAAAGAAGATGCATTCTTGGCTCTTCCCTAGTAGTAACACAAACACAAGAGGTTTGTGCCACCCACAGCAACCTTTGGGAAAGAGAAATACACTTTAGGACCCTCCTAGTCTATGGAATGAAAAAGAAATGTCTTGGACAGGAAGAAGAGGAAAAACAAGGCAAGGGGAAGATAGGGCAAATACACTCAAGCTAATCAATGACAAAAATCCACAGAAAGACCAATTTGCACCTACCCACCCCAGTCTCTAGCTAGCTGAGCTAAGGGTTAAGGCACAATAAGCCTGCAGATGCTTGTACTCAAAGGAAACGTTTTTGGCAATTCACCCAGACCTTCAGTGTTTTATTAGTGAAAAGCCCAGTTCTTAGCCTCACCCACAAAGAGGAACCTGCCTCAAGCACCAATGGGAAAGGAGCAGCTTGTCCTGTTAATACCACAGGTCTCAGAAGATCCCAATAAAAAGAGACCTGTGATTTTGGTTGTGCAGGTCTCTCTAACCACGACGTGAACTGCATCCAAGCTGGTAGGATAGCAATGCTCCAGCTTTAGTCTAGCTGCTTACCAATCACCCCGAGGCTGGTGAGCCGCAGGTATTCGAACGGACGGGTCTTGCTGACCGTGTGCAAGAAGGGGTACAGGAAGAGAGGGATATGGGCTGCCAGAAAAGCTGACCTGTAGGGAAGGGAGAACACCCAATGTGAGATGAGGAAAACAAAGTGAGCACACAACCCAGCGTTACCATGTAGAGCCTCAGACTACTCCTGACATACACTCTTTGCTGCTGCTCCTCAGAAGAGGGTAATGTACCTTTCCACCAGAGAACGAACTGAAGTAAATTCTGCACTGGGAGCAGCACCAAGCCTGACACCTAAACTGTCACCTACTTGCAGTGCTGCTTCCAGCTGACCAGGAGCAGAGCGTGTCCTGTTGTTTTTATCACCTCTTCCTGCCAGCCAGCTCCTCTGTTCTGTACACTCACTGCTGCATTTCACCTCACAGGCTCCCATGGGTGAGGACAGTCAGCCACAATGCATGTGCAAAGCCTCTGCATGACAGAAATCCAGACTGGCTGATCTCTAGGCATTACCACAGCCTAAATGTGCACAGCCACCTTTCCCTGGGGGTCCTCACACTGTCTTTTGACAACAATCAAAAAAACAGACTGCAAGGACAAACCTGGAGATCACTCTCCTAGCAGAGGGAAGCTCTCCTGCCAATCATCCAACTTTTGTCCTATGTTTTCAGTTTCCAAACTTTAAATGTAAAGGTGTGTGGTGGAAAACTACCCTGTTTCTTTGGATATCATCTCACAGAGGGTTGCTGTTTAACACTACTTTGCAGCAGCTGAAAAACAACTTCAGCTATGCAGCACTTTCTTCTCAGCAAGAACAGAAGTTTGAGATTACAGACCTCCAGCTAGTTTTCTTCTGAAACATCACCTTTTCCCCTGATGACATTGGCTGGACACCAACTGAGAAAACCTGAAGTCAGGCCCTGACTGAGGACTCCAGACATGATCCTGCTACTGCTTCCTTGCCACACACGGTCTCTGGGAAGGACAGTCCTGCTGCAGCATTCCACCCTTTAGACAGCTGATCTAAATAACTAAGCTGCTACTCTAAATAACTGTAAGCTCATTAAAACAAGGGTTCTGCACAGAGCACAAAGGCACCCTTATCTCTGGCTGAACTCCCAGGAGCTGCCATAACCCAATGTTTTGGGAATTTGCAAGATCTCACGATGGTCCAGGAAATGCAATGCATTTAGGACCACCATAAAGCTGTCATCCAGATAACCTGTGCAAGCTGGTGAAAGCATTAGGCAAGTGCCCACCTTCCAGCTCTATCCTCTGTTCCACTTCTTCTGGTAAAAAAGAAGAAAGGAGCTTATGTGCTTCTGGAGTCAGAGAGGCTGAGCTGTCAACATCAACACCTCAGAAAATTCGGGGTTTGGAAAGGCTCACCTCGTTTCAGGATGTGATGCAACACACTGTAGTAGAGCCAAAGCATTGCAGACTCTGTTGGACTGATGGGCTGTCAAAGTTGGAGGGTTGATTGACGGATAAATATTTACAATTTCCTAAAAAATAACAGATGAAGAGAAGTTAAGGGAGAAAAACATCAGAAAGTCGCACCAAAGCACTAGCCCAGCAAGGAACTGTGGTGACAGGAGATGGCAGTCTGCTTTCAGCAAGCATGTCTTTGAAGTTGTGTGACAGCCACTGTGCTGCTCGGGCAAGGGCAGGGCTGGGTCAGAGTCAACCAGACAAGGAGTTGCAAGAAAGCATTCACACACTAATTTCAGTAAAAAAGTGTTCATTTGATTTCATAGCTCTTTCCTAGGGTAGAGACTGCCCTGTTCTGAACTTGTGGATCGAAGAGGAACACTGTCCCTGTGCCTAGAGTATTTACTCATTCTGTAGCTGCTAGTGCTCTTCTAACTCAATGCAGGGGAAGTGGCTGAGGGTGAGAAATCCGATTTGGAAATCTGCCTGCTTCCAATTTTACCTCCCTTCTAATTTTCTTCGCTTGTTTCAGGGCCACTCCGTGAACAGCTTGACATTGCCAATCCTGCACTCTTTTCTTTCCTTCTTTGGAAGAAACTACTAAGATTTGGCTCTGAGAGATAGCCAGTCATAAGCTGTAGTGTAGTTTGCCCAGAGTTTTGCCAGGCTGAGCTGCTTACTTTCACATGACAGGTACACTCCTCTACAGGGATCTCTGGAGCAGTGAGCTGCATTCCTATGCTGCCCTTCCAGCGGGGCGGCAGCCCTACCTGCAAGGGCAACCTTCTGACCAGGAAGTGCTCAAACTTACGCACAACAAATCAAGCCAGAAATTTTAGGAGTAAGACAGTTATGCTCTGCTATGATAATGTATGAGAATAAGGACAGTGTGATCCAGAGGGAGCTTGTACACCCAGGAACTTGCTTGTTCCCCTTCCAACTATGCAAGGTGAATAATGAGAAACCTTACAGCCCTTGCACACGTCACCTTGCTAGCGACAGTGAATTGCAAAGGGGCTTCCCACATCTGCTCCCCTCACAACAGGATCTGACGTACGTCACACTCCCAGCAACGGCAGTGAGGGCCCCCACCAGTGCCTCCCCAGATCTGCTCCTTGTACCACGAGCTCAGCAGCGTGCTGGTGCCGCACCACAGAACAGAGACGCTGCCCGTCCTGCCCACCTGAAGGAGCGCAGCGATGGTGCCAAACGAGTGCCACAGCATGGGGGCCAGGTCGGGCACAGACTCACGCTTCTTGCTCAGCTCCAGCAGCGCGTTCTCCCGCGTCTCAGGGCTGGACAGCTCGTTGATCCACTGGTAGATCTTTTCACGGTCAACCTGAGCCAGCGCCGTTGGCACAGGCTGGGAGGGAGACAAGAAAACTTCAGTCCAAATATTTTACCCAAGTCTCACCCAAACCCTTCCCACAACCTGGCAGGTAAGCAAAAAAGCGTCCACGAAACTCCTGACTAGTGAGGGGAGGAATTAAAGCTGCATTAAAGTGCTCTGGAAATTGATCCCTTTCTTAGATTAGTCTTGTTATTTCACCTGCTTGAAACAAGGAGTTTACCTTCTGGCCTGACTCATTAGGACAGTCCCCTTAATCCACCTGTCAAGTAGTACTGTGTAACTTCATTCTGCAACACAGGGAGCTCTGCTGGTCAGGTCACACCTACTTCAGCTAGCTATCATTTGCTTCACCTGCACTTAGCACACTTTCATTTCGTGCTTCAGGTGCAAGCTTCCACAAAGTCAAAGGCAGATGCTACATTTTTCCCCTCAAAAATTGTCTGTGATATTGGAACCCAGTAAAGGGATTAACCCAATGTACATGAAAAAAATATTCATACAAATACTAGAAATATTCTCACTACTCCAACATCAGCACAGCAGTGTACACAGTCAGTAACACCTGCTGTTAGAGACATCTCATACTCATCCTGTGTACTTTCTTCATATGCATGGAGCTAGAAGAATTTTTCAAAACTGATTTTGTGCAAAAATCCCTGTTCAAAATAAACCCAGAGAAAGGTGGATCTGTATTCAGTCAAGGCACGTTTTCTGCTACCTGGGAGAAACACAGGATTTCTCTTCTGCCTTTCTTGGAACACTAGTGTAAGACTAGCATAAGACCAGCATCAAGGCTAAAAAATTTTCAAGTCAAAAAAAAATACAGGAGGGCTAGGAAGGAAAGGAAGAGAAAGAGGAACTGTAGCATAGTTTCTGCAGAGAGGGCAAGGCAGGAGTCTTGTCAATTAAAGCTTGCTTCATGCCTCTGCTGGCACAATAAGCATTCAAGGTGCAAACAAATACTCAGCTCCCTAAGCAGACAGTTTGGTGACTCAGGTATGAAATTCTGAGCAAGGCAAACATCAGCATGAAAACCCCCAAAGGCCAGCACATCCTACACTTGAACTCAAAGAGAGAGAGAGTGAACAGAGCTCATTTGTTTTTATTTGGGATGGTAATGACAAGCGGTGTAGCAATAATATTGTTATAATTGTGTTATCTAAAGCTTCCATCTATTTTTGTAGATTCACTGGAAGTTTCAGTTCCTGTAAGCTTAAATACACCGACCCTTTAAAAGCACAATCATGTGCCCGTGATCCCTAGAGAACACTAAGCAGATTTTCCATGCAATTAAGTTTATGATGTCCAATATCTCTCTAAGCCAGAACCAAATGCTTTTCACAGGCTTTACAGTTGCTCCTCTCAATTTAAATTGAAATACCTTTTTTTTTTTCCCCTCCCTTAATTTCCTGCTTTATTGTTGTTATCCCTTCTCCCTCTAAAACCTAAAATTCTGGGGAACCCTAAGGGCTACACACAAATCCTGCAAGCTTCAAGACAGAATGCTACCAGGCAGACTTTCTTTTGCACATGGGAAAAGCACAAGCGACCAACAGCATCTTGAGACAGCACAAACTAGCCACCGCTGCATCGTGAAGGGTCTTGTAACACCCTCCTCAAGAGAAAGGAATGAGAGAAAGAGAAATGCCCCATTACATCTCCAGCAACTAAATAAACTGGATTACGCAACCGGCTTTACCTTCCTAACTGAGCAGTTGCTGCTAGGCACGCTGGTGGAAGCACTGGCTAACCAAAGGAGAACACTGACTAACTGCATACACGCTTTTGGAACTATTCTGATAGATCACCAACTCAGAAAAAAAAAAATACAAAATTAATCTGAACTTCAACAGCAATGAATCAGCTGGTTTGCTTGAGGCTTTCAATGCCTTACTGCTATTTACAGCTACATTTATTGATTTTAGCCTGTTCTCAAGCCTCTAGAAAGTTATGTCATGTTATGGTCTGAAATCAGTGTCGGCTTTGCCACCAGCATACTAACCAGCTCTGGTAGGAAACATCTCACTACAGGTACTACCAGGTAGCCTGAACTACATATAAAATAAATATACATTCAAATGAGTCCCAAAAGAAAGCTGATCTCTATTCCTGAAACAATTATTTTGTGAAAATTGTCTTTTTAAAAAAATCCTGTTATTGAGAGATGACTAGAACACAGATGATCAATGGCAGATACAAGTCTCTCACACATTTTGACAAGCACTGAGGAATCACACAGCTATAAAAACGTAAATACTGATTAAGAGAATTCACTGTGATCTTGCACATCCTTCTATGCTTCAGAAAGCATCACTTTAAATCAGAAATATTTGTCAGCACTCCAAGAAGCAATTTAAAGTCACAAGCAGTTGAAGTGGGAAGACTTTAAAAGTTTTCTCAACTCCTGCTCATAAATACTTTATTCTCTTTGCTTATTAGCCCAGGCAGATCCTGGAGGAAAGTTCATCTGAAAACAGCTCTAGCCGTTACTATTGCAACACACCTCCCAGACTCAATGCACACCAGAGACTCGATCAATTCCAACAAGTCTTACACAGAGGAAGAACCTGCCTTTGGAGAAGTGAAAACCAAAACAATATGGGAGATAAGATGCAATAACCGCATCGTCCAAACTCGGCTTCCATTTTCTTGAATCCAACCAGGCCAAGGTACCGCTCCGCTCGCACCAGCCTGAACACCAGGCACCCCGTCCCACCACAGCACCTTCCTCAACGGGAGGAACACCGACTGGGCAGAGCGAGAGGCCGCCTCCGGGGGCCACAGAGGAGCGGGAACGCGCCCGCTCGATGCCTCCACCCTCCCAGCGGCCCGTCCGCCCCCAGCAACCCCGCGGGTCCTCTCGGGGCTCCGAACGCCCGCACGGCCCC